ATGGCAATTAAAATGAATTACCTAAAAAGATAAGAAGGTTTACAAACGTGATTAGTTCATTTGGTTTGTTTAGTGGATTTGGTTGTTAATAGCTAATTAATTAGTACAGTATCTAATCTATCTGTGTTTTTTTAAAGGAACCGGGAAATGACTGGTTTGCTTGATTTAGATTCCCACAAATCTTTAAGTAAAATCTCCTGTTCTGTTTTAAATACAATTCCTTGCAGTCTCTACTAGTGTTTTCTGGATTATGTTTTCACTTTATTATTCATTTTGTAGAATAACTCTTTTCTTTCTAATACATCTGTGTACAAACCTTTCTTTCGGTCCTAATGTTCAACTATCACAAATGGTCTTGTGATATATTTCATGTGCTGAAGCAAATCTGAATGGTAATCTTAGAAACCTGTACCTTCAATATAGTATGAGGTATTCAATGCACACCAGATGGGTTCTGCATCATCTAATCTGTGCTGCCCAAATCCTTGTGTCCTCTTCTTTTCTTTCCATATTTTTGTGACTCATTTTTAAATCAGTTTACTCACTAAGATTTGTAGCTCCTTTTGTCTTTTCATGTATTTATTTCCAACACTGTGAGGTGTTCGTGAGTAGGTTCGTAATTCTTCGTAAGTGGGTTCCATGCAAAGTTTTCCATAAAATGAATTTTACTTTATTACAGAAATACATTAACTTTTCACATCCAAGTTTTATCGACTCACCAACAGAGCACACAATAAATAGTGTCTTGTGAAGTATAAGCCTCTTTCCATTACCATAACTATCCAGCGTGCCTCTAACAATTACAGGTCACGAGATTTGCCAGGAGCACGTCACAACACCAATACTAATTTACAAAAGATGTGCCATTCCTATGGGATGTCTACCTTTCTGATATTTTGGTTGGGGACTTTATAGCCTACATTGACCTACATGTCATGATTTATTTTCCCACACTTACTGAATTAGTAGGTAGTTTCTACATTAAACCACATTTATAATTTCATACATTTAGCATGAGTACAAAGATTGATTTACTTTGTGTAATTTTTCATGCATATCCACATGATGTCAAATGTTTTTGACTACTGTATGTGTTCTGGACAAGGTATGTTCATTTGCCTACCAGTGTTTAATTAATTTAAATATTTTTTTCAAAACTCGCCTGGTCTTTCCATATCGAACATTAAGAGGACATGATGGAAGGTCAAAGCAAACACAAATGCACATTATTTAATGGACTGTTAATAATTAATGTTGAGTGCAATGATAGAAGCAGACAAAACTATATTTCAAAGGCTTCTACCTCATACACTTTAATCTTTCTACGGACTAATGGACTCTTGCTTCGATAAACACGTTCTGCACTGAAGGGTTTTTCTGTTCAGGGGGCTGTGAAATTCTAGGAATTGTCAAAATTGTTCCACCTATTAATTGATCACATTTGCTTTACAGTCAAAATCTGGACATTTCAGAGTTGTGAGCATAATGAAAAAACAAAACAAAACCTCCAACAGTCTATGTAATACAGTATTTGCTGAATGTGAAGCCAAATAGTAAGGGAAAAAACTACAGTAAATCAGTTTTTAAATGTAATATTAAGTAATCCCTTGAAGCAAAAATACAATCTGAAGTTTGACTGATATATTAAATAAATAATGTAATACTGAAGAGTATGATTAGTGTGCCTTGTAGACAAGACATCCCAATCGTTATCCCTCCTCTCAAGGGTGCTCCGACCCTTTGGGATTTTAGTTGATTACGTGCACCTGCCTCCTGTTTTGCCTGTTATTATTTAAGCCTGGCGATCCCACTATTCCTGGCTCAGCATTGGGAGATGGACGCCCGGAAGCCCACCTACCAGCGGGTCCAGGAGAGACCCAACGGCACAGGCCTCCTCACGGCGTCCTGACCACCTGAGTCCGGGGCTCTGAGCGCCTATCCTCATTACCCTGTTTTTAACTCCTTGTTCCTGTTCCGGATCCCATTCCGGATTTTAGCTTTGTCTGTCTTGGATGGTTCTCCCGGCACCTGGACCCTGGGATGCACCCCAGATTTCCCCCTTGGCCCCCCGAGCACCGGATCACCGCCAACACTCCGCCCCCCCCCCGTCTGTCATCCCTACCTGATCCTCATTGTGTTTTCCTTGTTGCCCTCTTCGCTTCCTTCCAGATTATGCGGTCTAATAGGGTCCTAAACTACGCTTCACGGGAGCCTGGACCGGCTTCAATTACACGAGATTAAACCATGAGAGGGTAATTGAAAAGTATTTCAAATGCTTTAGCAATAGAAGGGAATTCCAGTGATGAATACTGTCCAGAGGTACTATTCTAATGTTTTTAAAACACCAATGTTAGTAAAAAAAGATCAGTGGTTACTGGGAGAAAAAAAAACAAGAAGAGGAACAAGAAGCCTGTTTTGATTGCAGAGCAATCAAACAGACAAAAACCCTTAATAGGGAGCTGAAATGCTTTACCTGGCTTGTTTTTTAATATGATTTAGGCCATAAACAAACCTTGTGTTATTGGCCTCTGTTCTGCCCTGAGAAAAAGCATTCTTAATTACATAGTTGTAACACAACCTGCCACAGACTTGGCAACGAAACCTCAGGCTACAAGTGAGCTGCTCTGTGGAAACTGTGAAGGGAGCTCATTTCTGTCAGCTCGAATTTTAATTATTGTCACAGCCTCGTTAATCTTCTCAGTGAACAAATGCCAGGACAGCAAACGTAAGCAAATGCTGATATGAAATACTCACCCAGTCTTTCACTGGAGGAATCCAATTTGTCACATTACAAACCCAATTAAATCTGAATAATTGTGCTTGCCCTATTACTGTACATACTACAGTACAACAGTGAAATGGTTCTTGCTAACTTGGATACTTCCAAATAAAATGACTTGCAAGTTTTGTTTTCCTTTTCAGTCTAAGAACTATGTAATACGATTAAATAACCAAAACTAAAATTATTATATTTTCAATGGATCTTCGGGTTGTAGCTTCATAGTTCCTGGTAGAATTACCTTATATTAAGTGATTTCAGTTGCTCACTTAGTGTGCTGCAATATTTCCATTAACCACATTGTTTTTTTTGTTAAAGTTGTTAGAACTTTATATCCCTTTAAGCACAACTTTCATTTAATTTATTTGATCTTGAAAGCTGTTTCTTCAATTTGCAGTCACTTGGAGCCGTATTGAGTTTGTACATTGTGTCGGTAATTTAAAAGGCTGAATCGATGCAGTGCATTAGCTGTAATTGAAGATTCTGTGTCTTAATTATAGCAGTATATGTTTTGGTTACATTGGAATGAATTAGTTCTATCATAAAAATTAATTGTGTTGTTGAAGCTTAAAACAATAAATTTAATACATTAGGATTAAAAATTATCTTGATTGTTTTCTTAAAGACATTTTAATGTAGGGTGGAGTAAATGCCTACATTAAGCAACATAGGAATTCTCATGTGAATAGCTATATGTGAACATGTACTGAAGCACTGGTCTATCTAAAAAACACAGTAAAAATGCATTTTCATTACACTAGGTGTATGTTATACTATAGGTATATATATTAAAAAACGGTTGAGGCAGGAGTGGAATGGAGGTAAAATACCTTTTCAATGGGGCAAAACACCCATGGCTGAGCAGTTTGCCTTTTTTTGCACTCTGAGTACATGTTTATTGCATTTATCCAGGACTGAAAAAACTAGCACAACACTTGATCGATACTGTAACTGTAGAAAAATACTGTAATGAATGTCAAACAATTTTGTTCACTGTATGAATTCTTTAAACTGCCAAATAAGCAAATGAAAAACACTGCATACATCTAATGAAAGTTAAAAAAAATACAACTTTGAGTCAGACAATGATCACTTACTATCTTCATATACCCACTTTTTGCATGGTAGGCATTACAGTCACATTCCCTTTACACGAGACTTTGAATTGTGATCGACTGACTTGACCTGGTCTTGCCCTTTGCCCTTTACCCTTTGCCCCTTGTCAGTGTCTTCCTTATTTCCTCTGGATCTTGTCTCACTTACCTGTGATGGCAGCCTTGAAGTTTTTCAGCTATCCACTGTCACACTTTCCATTTTTAGACAATGTTTTTTTTTTCAGGAATGAACTGTTTGGTCGTGTGCTTGTATATTTATGTGCACAGTATGGTGGGAGTGTAAAAAGATGGGTACTAGGTTTATTTGCATAGCTAATATGATGCAGTTCTTTGGCTTCCCATGGCGCTCATTTTGCAGATAACAGTGACTATTGAACCGTGTTTCCCACTTGTTGCCTTAGGCACAAACAAGTACAGCTCTTTAAATTTATTCATGAAAAGTATGAGATAAATCAAGACGAATCTTTAAACTGACTGCAACTTGAAGAAATAGAAAGTATTAAAAATGCATCTTTTTAACGCAGGTAATTAAACTCCCACAGACAGGTGTATATACTGTAAGTTGTAATGTCCTTTTTCAAATCCTAGACAAAATCATCACAACTGAGATAACCGAATTTGTCCTGAGTAGCACCGTATGTACTGTAGATGAGTCCGCAAAGTAACCGCGTTAGCCGCTTACAAATCTTAACGTTAACTTTATAACACATGCAAAAGGCTTGTGACATGTACTTGTAGAAAGTCGTTAGTTTTCCCATCCTGCCCCCTTCCCTACCCTGATAGTTCAGGGGAACATAAACTTTAAGTTAAAGACATCTATTGTATAAAACAAAGGGCACAGATATGACATACAATAAAACAACATGTATTGGTCCTGTGACTTGCTAAAACGCACACGAATTGCATACAATGAAAGTGCCTAACTATATATCCAAGGCTTCACGACTGCACTGAGAACATAGATGGATAGCCAAAAAAGCAGATACTCTGCAGAAATGTTGCTAGGAAACCTGACATCAGCCTTTACTCCGCATGCATTGCCCACGTGTGTTCAGTTTCAGTATAAAGCTAATTCGCACTGGTGCTTGGAAAGGAATTGCTTTGGAAACTCAAAGGTGAAAAAGTTGTATTTCGTTGGTGCTCGTGTTCGTGGATGTCATCCGCTAGAACGATTTTATCACTGGAATGGCTTAAAAAAAAAAAAGAAACCTCAAAATGCTCACATGTGAAAGTACTCCGAAAATGTGATCGTGGCAGATCTTTGGATTAAAAGTGAACTGTACATTTCAACACTTTTCAAAATTACTTCTAAGATGAGAATGGGATTCTTAGAACATAGAGTTGAGTCGTCTGAAGAAATGGTATTTTACTAATTTGTATTGTATGTTACGGAATAAGAGCAGGATGACGTTTCCAACAGAGATGATCAATATCACCGAACTATCAATAAACATCACTGATGTGAACGGTTCTTTGGAGAAGACAGAGGAGGGTTCTCCTCCATTTCTCACAGATGCCTGGCTGGTTCCGTTGTTCTTTTCTCTCATCATGTTGGTGGGACTCGTTGGAAACTCATTAGTCATATACATAATATCCAAACACAGACAGATGCGAACAGCCACCAACTTCTACATAGGTAAGGTTACGCCCCTGTAGCGATGTTAGAAGTACATTAAGAAATGAGTGAAATCATTAAATGCCTAGACGCCCAGTACTTCAGTTTTATTACCCAAGACTATGTACTGTATACATTAGAAGAGACCTCTTAGGAAAGGTCTTAACCTATATTGTCAAGAACTGTTTAAGTTCCAAGGAGTAAGATAATTAAAAGTTTTTTTCTGAATGTTTACTATTTGTTTCGATTAACATTTTAATGATAAATACATTTCGCAAGATTATTTGTAGAACTATTGCGTTTTACGGACGCTTGTTCTTTATTCCAATTTAATTATCAATATTAATCAGAATCTGTTTTAGAGTTTTATTCTATATTTCATTCCGTTCGTTATGAGTCAGAAAGAAAAAAATCGATTGGATGATTTATTACAGTATGAAGAACAACAACAACAATAATAATTAATAATAAAGTAAACAGTCGTGTGACGTGTTAAACATAAAGTGATAGGTTAAGGAGTCTGCGCCAATACGTTTCATATTTAAATTAAGATTAATTTGTTTAATCCTGCAGGTTCTACTACTTATATACTCAATGTCTAAATTTGCCTTTCTTTCAGATACTCAAATGGCAGGTTTCCTTGCTTATATCATGCTACCAAGATATCAAAACTGTAGATATATCGACTTTTATCTTACGTTTAACAGTGCAAAACCGGAGACTGTTAGAAACTGGCATCAAATTGCTACAATATATACAGTATATATAAATGAGACTGTCGTCTTGAATTTACTTTCAGCGCTCTTGTCAGAAACCTGGGTGGACTTTTTGGCTCTGCTGTAAGATTTGAACTTTCATAGTACCAAATTCATAGTTTAAATGTACTATTTATATTTTTTTTAAATCATTTTCATCATTTCGAGGCTTGTTTCAAACCCAGTTTACTGTATGCATTTCTGATGCTGAGAAACCTGTTCGTTCCTTTGTTCCTTCTATGATTGACTATAGTAATGCGTTTTTGGCTATCTTCTTACAATCATTGAAACACGCCAGCTTGCTCCTGTTGTCAAACAGCCCGCGTCAGGTTCTCAAACCTCCGAGATGTGGCTATAGGTACAGTAGCTGTACAATGTAGAGTGGATTTTATGATCTTGCTGCTACAGTTGCTTATGTACTGTAGCATTGCATTGCATTGGTCCAATATACTTGAATGACATTTTGCAACCTGTTATTCTGTACACCCCTTTTTCATCCCATGTTCATCAGCTTCTTATCTGTCGGGTGACAGGTTATTTTGATGCCTAAGCATTAAAATTGTTTTTCCATGTCCATAGGACATAGTGTTTGTGAATACTTTCCTTTATGCATTCTTTTAATTACTTACATACGTTCAGATTCAATTCTTTGCCTTATTTTTTTTTTTTAAAGAGAGCTAAAATCTCAAAGGGGGTTAAGTGGATAGTAACCATGCCAAGCCACTAAACATAACAAATGACCATGTGATGGCTAGAATTCATACAACACTCTAACCACACAACAAGATAAATGGGAACTTGATTAAGTATTACTTATATGCGGAATACATCTGAACTGTGTAAAGTCCTTACGTAATCTGCTTTCTCGTTTACCAGTTTCTGAGGAAACACCAAAAGCCTTCTATGAATAGGATGCGTATGGCAATTTATGGACACATTTTAATTCTAAATACGATTTGTATTGAGTTTTCAAGAGTACTAGGAAGTTAGGAAGTAGCACAATGGGATTTTAGTAGGGAAAATATTCTACCACATGTTGTAACAGATACAGTAATCTCGGCTATGCCAGTCCAGAGCTGTTTTGTATTAGATTAATTGAAATGTAGCCTTTGTATCTGCTATATCTAATCTGTAATTAGGAAGGCAGAGCTTAGTGCAGAAACAGAGTAACCAAAGCCATAATTTACCGTCGCCCAATTTACTAACTAATTTATTAACTATTTGAGTAAAAAAAAAAACTCAAATAGTACCATCAGATAGGATTAATCCATCTATACAATACAAAATTGTAAATATTTTAATAAAAATATTATAGTGGCACAAGAAGAGAAGACCATGGCAGGTCAGCCTAAGAAAGCACTGCAATAACAGCTAACCTCCCCCTATAGAAGTCTAATTTTTGTAAATAGACACACTGGGTGTCAGTTATTTAACTGGCTGATGCATTCCAGTATGTCACCCAAAGAAGGCTCCACAGCCAAAATGTTGTGTTTATTTTCTTCTCTTTTCAGCATGGAATAAACCTTTACTTGTTCCTTTGCAGCTTATGCATGCTGATGCAGCTACTGTACTTACTTGAACTATCTTCTTGTTGTGTTCTTCTGAGTCGAAAACATAGCAGTAGCTTTTTAAGAGTTGGAAGAATGATATTTGGGACACTGCTGTTGTTGCCAGAGTGTATTTGAGCATATAAAGAGCAAATCCCAGATTCTTTTTGAATCCCATCTGCAATTGCATATACAGTATGTAGTGATATTAATTAGGGAAGCTAAGACCTTCAAATTGAATGGCTTTTGTCCACATTTACGTACAAGAGTGTGGAATAGCTACAAGCACACAGCTGAATTCAGTCTTTAAAAAACATTTACCACCTCATTGAAATCTCACTGAAAAACATGAATAAATGGACAATAACATTTGGAAAATATTCTCATTTAGTATGAAGCCATTCATAACAGTGCCATAAATATGAAAGGGGTTTGTAGTTTCTTGTTCTCTTACTTACCTTACATAAGGCAGCATCATATGTGTTGCTGAGATCTGCAGTTCCAGTCTTAGGTGTTGTAGCTCATTCCTGCTGCAGAATCTCAAAAATAAGTCCACCTGTGTGTTTACTGGGATGCTTTTCCGGGTGTTCGTCAAGGGCAGCCTACAGGTGCTCCGAGGTTCTTGTTGTGGGATTATCCAGGGCATAGAAGAGGATGAAAAGGTTTTCTTACTATAGCTGGAGTTCTTACTTACTGTACATTTCGGTAATTTGGTTAGATCCTGATGCATGCAATAGAGGGACACAATTAGAGAGCTGAGGGAATGGCAGCCTAGATCTGTGGATAGGTTGTCTCTCCCCCATCTTTTTTGCAAGGATTGAGCTAGGAAATTTGCTTCAAGGGTATAGATGATGAGGTGGGGAGGACGCAGGAGCGATACATGAAGAAAAGACCTAGGTGCGAGACTTATACACATAGGCAGGCAACAGGAAGTGTGCAGGATTAGGATCTCACATCCATGCTAGCCTAGTCTCTGTACGGTCCATGTGCAAACTGTATATGGATGACTGAAGAGCTTGGTAAAAATTACGTTTTTATTTTCACAATGCCTACAGCTCAGCTCATGTTGTCTTATTTGTTCCCAAAGTAATCCTTTGCCTTTGCCTACTATCCAAACTTTATTAGACATGAGTACTTTTGACTGCTTTAGGTGACGTGTCTGATTAAGAAGGAGATTTTTATTGACAAAAAAATTATTCTTTTCAGCAAACCTGGCTACCACTGACATAATATTCCTGGTGTGCTGTGTCCCCTTTACTGCCACTCTTTACCCTCTGCCGGGCTGGATCTTTGGAGACTTTATGTGCAAATTTGTTGCCTTCCTACAACAGGTAAATTTCTATAATTTAAAAATCAATAAACGTCTGTTTATGCAGCGGACTATTTACTTGTTCCTATACGTTTGCCCGATGATCGATGTGGCAATACAATGTTCCGTCTGTAACTGAAAATACAGAGTAATTACAATCAAACGATCTACAAAATCACTGTATTTAGTTGTTGTAAAAGGGTACTACCGGTGGTTATATTACTCACAAAAGAATGTTGCTCCATTTGCTGAAAACATACCATTGCTGTTTCTTGATTGTTATACCTTTTTGTAACTCAGACCTTCTCACTGTTAAAAGGTTTTAATCCAAAGAGCAGGAAGAGAAAATTATGAAGAATTTAAGACAATATGCATGAAAAAGGGTGAAAAAGAGCTTTTTAGTTTCACAGTGTTTTCTGTCATCATGTGTCTGTTCCTGTTACAGAAAAGCAGGCAATTTAAACTACAAATATTTATTAATAAAGGTGTCAAGAGGTAATGAGGCACAGAGGGTTACATAAAGGATGGCGTGTCAACCAGGAGATGCTGCAGTATCAATTCCTCCAATTCTTTATTACATCATGACATTTATCATAATTACTTATGTCTAGGATGTAGCACTCAGCAAAAAAAGGTGCTCTTTGAAACAGGGATGCTTAAAAAAACTACAGTAAAAGCATAATACATTGTATACCGTACTGTAGTTCTAATGATCTCTTCCCTTAGATAGGGATAAATGTGCTGGGCTGACACATGAGTGGGATATTACAGATAATTAATCTACAGCAGAAAATCAGGCTTCTGTTCCCAAATCCAAGGCTTTATCTCTGTGAACTATTGTGCCATTGTACTCATTAATGACCAACACCTCTACTGGTCTCGTCTTCTTAAGAAATAGCTGGTTTTCAGTGATGTGGAAACATGGCGGGAGGAAAACATCAGATTCCACACTGACAAAAAATACTTCACATGAAGTGTTGATGTGCTAGTGTGTTCATGGTTTAAAGACAACCGTCAATCAGAAGCTATTTTGCAATGAAAAAATAATTCCCAGTAAGATGCTGATGGTGGTTCCTCTTTTCCTGCCACTCAAGCACATCCCTAGATCTGTTATATGGAATTGTTGCAGTTAATACACTACTGTATGTTCAGTTGTTACATATCGAGTTTTACTGTATGCATTTTTAACCTGGTAATATTTCCCATATTTTCCCCATATTTTTTAACCCAAAAGAGCACCATCCAAAAATTATTACTATTTTTTTAAAATTGAATTTCAACCAGTGGAAATGTTTTAATTAATCGTTATTACTATCTGGACCTGACTTAGAAATGTAGTTCATAATAAAAGTTCTTGACAAAGACATTACCCTATCTCCCATCAGTCACCTGGTCAGTAGGGGTGTCAAGGTGGGATTTTTCATCTTCGTTTAACTTCCGCCCCTTCAATCCCACCCTACCACCAGTAACTTGTCTCTTCTGACTTCCTCATCCACGGACCAAGTTCATGTCCCTCAAGTAAAGCAGTTTAAAGCGTGTTCTTACATCTTCATTTCATTTAACACACATGCATTTGGTTATTGTCTAGACTGTATCTCTTGACAATTTCAATGGTAAAACAATCCAATCTTTATGTTTAAGGTTACAGTCCAGGCTACCTGTATCACTCTCACAGCAATGAGCGGTGATCGCTGTTATGCTACAGTATACCCTCTGAAATCCTTACGTCATCGCACACCCCGGGTTGCAATGCTTGTTAGCATCTGTATTTGGATTGGTAGGTATCATCTGGTTATGTCTTTTACACATTTCATTTTAAACCAATTCGTATTGAAAAAATAACATCTCATCCACCAGATCCTGATCGTTACTCCTTTCCTTGTTAGTCTTTCTAGACTTTTCTCCTGCTCTCAAAAAATCTATAAGTGGGTGGTTTTGACTTCCCAGCTTATGATTCACTCTTTGGTTCTGTTCACAATGCCAGAGGCTGTGTCAGTTCCAAGACGTGAGGAACTAGTAGTTCTAATCCAGCACTTACTTTTTCAAATACCACCTTCAGATCCTTCTCCATGATGATATTAAGATATTGAGCATTCCTATCTTTTTTATTTAAAGTTCTTAACTGTTATTGCTTTTGTCTGCCAAAGAATGAATAATAATGAAGTAGTTTGCTGAAAGAGATTTTAAAAGAAGATTTTTTTCTGGTTTGCAGTGGGAACACTTTCGTGACTGTTTTTCACAAGTGCCTCCACTTGTTTATTTTCAGAATGGGACACAGTAAATGTGGTGAAGTGATCACACATAAAGTAATAGATCAAATTTGATCTATTCCAACCAAATGCTAAACATTAGTTGGAATGTTTAATCTGAAAACAATAAAACATTTCAAAATATCAGTTTCAGATGACCGTAACGAATGAAGACTTTATTTAGGTATAGATTATTTAAGAATTTGTTATGTATACCTTCAATGTTATCTTTACATTGTACTCATATTCTCAACCCTTACTTATTTCTATGATCTACTTATATATTTTATTCTTTATTTTGTTAAAATCAAGGGTCCTTTATTCTCTCAACACCTATCATCATGTATCAGAAGATCCAGGAAGGGTACTGGTATGGGCCCAGACTCTACTGCTTAGAAAAGTTCCCATCAAAGATGCATGAGAAAGCCTTCACTCTGTATCAGTTCCTGGCTGTCTACCTCCTGCCTCTTCTCACGATTTCCTTATGCTACTACTTCATGCTCAAGAGGGTTGGGAAACCAGTGGTCGAGCCTGTAGACAACAATTACCAGGTAAACTTTGTGATGCATCTGCATAGCATGCAGGGATGATCAGTGAAATTCCGTGGTACGTCAGTGTCAATTGGAAAGCAATCCACTTTTATTTCAAGAACATGTCCATTGTGTCAGACTTGGTGGGCTCAATTTTACAACTCCCAGATTGCTTCCATAGGCTTGTGTCGCACCACGCATTAGGTAAACTCTGATTTAAAGTCACTTTAGTTCTCTAGAAGCTGCTGTTGTTGTCATATTTATGTACATACTGTAGCTTATTACATAAATAACAGTAAACAACGGCAAACTGGCCTTTATATTTATCACATGTAGTTAGAATATAGAAATCAAATGAACCAAGCTTAAGAAAATGTGTCAAAATGTCAGAACAACAAAAGCCATCCAAGAGGTTCAGTAATTTCTGCTTTGATTCCAGGTCCAGGTGCTTTCGGAGAGAACTGTGGCCATGAGAAGCAAAATCTCCAAAATGGTGGTAGTAATCGTCCTGCTTTTCACTATTTGCTGGGGGCCCATTCAGCTGTTCATACTATTCCAGTCTTTCTATCCTAACTACAAGGCCAACTACGCCACCTACAAGATTAAGACGTGGGCCAATTGTATGTCTTATGCCAACTCATCCATCAATCCCATTGTCTATGGCTTCATGGGTGTTAGCTTCCGCAAGTCTTTCAAGAAAGCCTTTCCTTTCCTTTTCAGACGTAAGGTGAGGGATGGCAGTGTGACCTCAGGGACAGGGAATGCAGAAATGAAGTTTATTGAAACAGATGTTACCCAAAATGAAGGGAAATGAACATTTTGTAGGTTTTTTGTCTGCAGTACAGTTAATGTAAGATAACCAGGTGAAGTTAACAGTACTCTTGCTGAAAACAATTCTACTCAGTCTAGTCTAATGTGACAGATACAGGTCTGATGTGACAGAAACATCTTTTGTTTTGTAAATGTATTCTGCTAAACGCCTTGAATGTAAAAGAATGCTGGTCAACTCAATGAAGAAAAGAAAGTCTAAGTATTTTTGTAAAACAGTGCCCAATCAAATGTGACACACTATGATTGCAATCAAAATGATTTCTGCGAAAAACCTTATGGAATCAAAATACAGTACTTAAGTAAGCACTTGAAAATATAGCTAAATTCAAATACCTTCATTTAGATTATAATTTCAAATACCCTCAATTTCAAGGTAAATGAAAATTGTAATGCAAAATTTTATAAAACCCTACTCATTCAATGCATGCTCCATATCACACTTAAAAGTACTGTAAGTGTTGCATAATAATATCTAAAAGCCAGTTTAAACTGTTGATAATTGTCTGTGCCGAACTGAAGGTTGAACATGTTAAGTAAATTGTGGACTACCTTCTTTTCTAAGGCATTTATCACAAGATAGACACATGGGCTGCCAGATGAAGCTGTTTGTTGTTCAAACATAATCATCATAACTCTTTGCAGTAAATTATACTAAATTCTACTGATCTACAAATTTTGCCAGCTTTTAATTTGTTAGAAAAGGTCAACAAGTCCATCAATTCAATGTCAATTCCACTCAATGTAGCTAACAGTCCCGTATAACTTTTTTTTAAGACATTACTCAAGCGATCCCAAATATCAGCTGGAACAATCTGCACTGGGTATATTTTTCAAGGGCGCTTTGAGTCCAGTTTTCATCATTCAACCCTGATTTCTCGACTCTTCTGTGTTTATCCAGAAATTCTGGTTTCTGCCTTAATTGCCAGCTAGGGTATATTCCATGGAAAAATACATTCCCACCCCATTTCAAGATGTTGAAACAAACAGATTACATCAATATGAAAGTTTGTTTTAAACTGTGAGGTAATTCAATATCGAACACTTCAATGCAAGAAAAGTAATTTTTCATTTCAACCAGCAGTGTGTATCAGTCTGACTTTACACCGAGAAAGAACTCTAGTTGTGTAGCTCATTACAGATTAAAATCAATTTACATTTGGTAATGACTGCTCAAGATCTAATCTAATTTAAAATTGGAAGTTAACCTAAAGGAGACAGCACAATAAAATACCACACTGTGAAGCTCCTGAACATGTTTTTTGGAGCATGTTTACTGTGAATTTCAGTTGAATTAAACCACCACCTTTTAGTACCTGTGTTATTTAGTACCTCTACAATTCATTATTTCTCTGTTCAATTTAAATGCTTTATTCAAAAATAGTAATGTGAAGATCTGCTGCAATTCTATACATGTACATGCAGAAAAGTTGTTTTTTTCATATTATTTCAAATATGTCAGAATTTTCAATCAAAACAATTATTTACAAGCAATACTAAAGATAATTGGAATGCATTTTGAATTAAGGGAAGAAATAGTCCTACTTATTTAGCACATGGACAAACATTGCAATACATGCATTTAACACAGTTCAAGTTGTTACATTATTAGTTAGACTCTCTTGTAATCCCATTTCCATGTATTTTTGTACTATCATAAGAATGAAAAAAGTGTGACCCTTATTACTCTAGTCCATTTTTGTCATGAGATATATAGAACTTTGCTTTCTGCCACCTCAGCTTGATCTGGATGTAGAAATGCCTTTATTTACAGTATATGTTTTGTGACCAGATACCACTGTAAAATGTTCAACTGTACTGTAGCATTCCAGGTCATCTGTATCTTGGTATGAAGATAATATTAACATATTGATTAATAAGCACAATGAAATGAATTATGAATGCAGGATCATGAGAAAGTTATCACCAGGTAAATTAGATAATATGCAATTATACTAACAGCCTTATGGATAATCTTCTGGTACTGTCAATGGTAATTAAGTAGAAATGTGACTAACTGACCTTATTTAATTTAATTATATAAGAAAATATATAAAATCTATTTCTTAAAAACACATAGTTCTTTAAACACATAGGCCAGTCTAATACATACATGTATACACAACAACAAAACAATTTGAGTTTTTAAAACTTGTCTTGATCATATAAAACTATAGTAGGGGAGGTACAACACCTAATATGCTCAGCCCTTTCACTTCTGGTTTGTGTTAATTACATCTGTTCACCATCTCTTTGAATTAAATCTAAGCTTTTATTTTCACCAGGAGACAAAGCTGAATAAAACAGTACAATAAGCACAGCAGTAATGAGAATGTCACGTTCAGGAACAAATGTATCTCTTATTGTACAACATTAAACAAATAAATTCCTTAATTTTCATCTTATAAAATCCCTAGGTGCTTCTACATTTCGAAGGGATCCACATCTTGTCAGCTTCATCTAAAAAATTAGTTTCATACTGCAGAAAAAGAGAGGTAGGATAAATTCTTCCTTTAAAAGTGGAATATTGTAAATCAAATTAGCAGAACAGAGATTTGTAAAATTCCCAATAGTTCAGTGGTTAAGAGGAGCAAAATATTTAACGCTGCACATATTATTTTATATATGTAATGTATTGTGTTAACTGAAATGATCATTGAAAAATTACTGTTCTGTTTGCATTTACTGGGTGCTATGCAAGTGCAACTCTTGCAGAAGCATGCCCATGGTGCTCAGTCTGAGGTGTGGAGAATGTTGACATTGCTATTCTCTTTAACAGACAAGCTCACACCTCCCTATGTACACAACTTCACAACTTGCAGGTGGGGAGCTGGGTAGAAAGTAAATCTTCACAGACCTGGATCAATGATTGCCTTTCTTTTTTTCCAAGAACCACATTATGTCTCACCCGAATCAGTAGACAGATTTGTTATGACAGCCACAGACATGGTGTGGACAAAGCCCACCGCATTCCAGTTCTGTGAATCTCAGAATAACCCTGCTCTTACAGAGTAACTGCCTTCCTGCCTGAGCTCTTTAGATCTCAGTTGGATTTGGAGTACACAGCAAAAGGAGACCTCCACAGAAAAACAGTTTGCTGATTAAACTGGTGTGGGTGGACCAGCAGGAGGTGATTTCCCCTCTGGGCCAGAACTTGTGAAAATCAAGGTCCTGGCTACTTAGTCATTAAAGGTCCCCTTTGCACTTTTCTAAAGACCAGAGGTGTTAACCTTGGTGTCCTGGTTAGACTGCTATCTGGACTTTACAGCATAGTCTGGCCTCCCTAAAGTTTCCTCATATTTACATTAGTGAAGCGATTTCTCACTTGTCCACCTGTTGCCTTCAGGTGCATAACTGCTGTTGAACATCACCCAGGTGGGTGCTGCACTTCAGTGGTAGAAGAAGTGGGTCTCCTCCTACAGTGCTTGAGATGCCTAAGGATGAAAAGGGAAATACCAATACTAGGAATTATAATTACTAAGCAACACAGCAGCACTGCTCACAAATCTGCAAAATTGGCAAATTTATAGAATCGTGCTTTCAAAATAAAAACAAAATGAGATCACCTGAGATTTAATGCAGACCATGAAAAAGCCAGCCCAAAAACGAATGTGCTGCAGCATACTGTATACTGTAAATAATGTAATTGCAGACTGTATCTGGAACCATCTCAGCTGTGAATTGATATTTGCCCCTAAGCTTAATTCATTGACAGACATTGTAAAGTATGGTGTGATGCGATTTATACAACCTTAGTGAGATAATGAGCTTTAAAGGTAATAATTTGAATGAAAGTATGATTGTACCTAAAAAGTGATACTTTAATAATTAGCCTTTAGACAATTTATTTCACTCAGCAGTTTTTCTTTATCTTATTTTCCTTTAGGCTGTAAATTGCAAGAGTCCCCAGTTACTATATGGTTGTGATTCAGAAAAATGTGTCCATGGATTTCATAGTAATTCTCTCTATGGGTTAGCTTAAACTCTCTAGATATTTTATCCCAAAATACAGAATCTGTGTAACATTCAGAAAATGAAACAGGAATTGGTTTGGCCTGTTTATCATTCTCATACAGAATGTGACTCACAAATCTACTATGAAATATAAATGTTAATATGTCCTTTTCTAGTTAAATTCTGTGTGTATACCCCTTAACACATAATTTATTTTAGAACATTATTTATTTATCATACATTTTCTTGTTTCCAATGAAGGCCTGCTTAGCAGTATCTCGACGAACACACTACATTTCTACTAATGTTGCTGGAAGGTTGTGGTTTGATTCCGTTATCTAAATTGTTTTGGCAAAGTTTAGTTATGTAAGACATTCATACATCATGTTAAAGCAATATTGCAAACAATTAATTAACAATGTTTATACTGTGTAAAAGCAGTGCCTCACAGTGCTGGGGTCCTATGGACCTGGGCTACTATCAGCATGGAGTGTGTATGTTCTCCTTAAACAGTTCACGTATGTTCACGTTAACCTGGGTTTCCTCCAGGTACTCTGGTTTATATTGGAAGCACCTTTTTCCTGGTGAAATTTAATCATTTTTATCATTTTTCTTACATTTTTCCTGACATTTCTGCTGTCCAGTTGAAAACACGTGTTTACAAATACAGAATATATTTTATGGCATGTTGGTTTAATTTCGTGTTGTTGCACGACAACTCCACTGTCATGTAAAAAAGAGCTAAAATGAATGCTAAAATGACAAGATTTTATCATAAACTGACTAATCCTCCTTAAAGGTCACATAGCAACAATCTTCAAATTATAACAGATGGTAGCCTACTTTGCTAAAGTACCTATCTGACTGTGGTTGTACATTGTATAATTGGGCTTTTTCAGAACAGCTGTATAATAGAATCCTGCCCATGTTTCATTAGCACAGTCTTCAGTCATGCCATTTGGCGCACCTCAAAACTTACTGATACAAGCTAATGGTGTAGCATATACTGTATATACACTATAAAATATTTCACACATCTCATTAGAGTTTGATTTGAGTTCTCTCATGCCAGGAGAGTAGCCTTTGGGCACAGGGGGACTCATACAGTACATGACTGAAGCTCTGTGGTTAAAAGACGAGATTTGAATCAGAGCAGGAAATGCACGCTGCATATGCCGAACACTATGTACACAAAACTGTATTGGTGATGTAACAGCTTCTTCATTAAATTCATTTTATATTCTGATTTAATCAGTTAACAGACATTATTCCCCATGATCCACCTACAGGTGTCTGCATCTTCCAAGAAAAAAATAAAAATAAAATAGCTTCCCTTCGGTACGTCAGTAGTGGACATGCAATCTGAAATTCTTCTTGTGTTATAATTCAGGATTTTCTTTATTCCTTTTGTATAAAATGGGAATTAATAACCCATGCAACAACATCTCAAAATATTCAATGACTAGTATAATATTGTAGTCTACTGTAATATTAAAATATGGTTATGGGATAGTTATTTGATAATTATGTTACTGATATATACAGTTTGATTTCAAATTAAGTGCATTGTTTTACAAATAATTAATATGATTTAGTAATTTACCTTCTTCTGCCTACAGATTGTTACTACCATCCAATGTCTATTGATGTACAACAGACCCTTTCTCCATTTTGTTGTACTATAGGCCTTTTTTCCTGTGACAAAGGCAGTCAAAGATAAATGCAAGGATTTGAACTAAAGAATTGAATTTGTTCATATTGAAAAAGCACCATTTAAATCAATGTAATCTTTTTTACTATGTACACCTAAGTACAACATTCTGTATATATGGGCTGTAAACACAAAAAAACACAAGTGTTTTGTGCAGGCAGCACATCAATTAATATAAATGACTTAAATAACAGGGAATAACAGTGAAAACCAGGAGCTCTAGCTTTAATCCAGAAAATCCCTTAAATCCTTCTATATCTTCCTGTTGTAACAGCTACCATTATCCTGGGTGTGACAACCAAGTATAGATTTTGTATCAGATATTGTATAAAAAGGTCAAACATAATTTATGTTTGGACTTTAATGTCAATTTTAACTTATTCGAGTTCAGTTTATATAAGCCTTCATCTTCTGTTATTTATGTTCTTTAGAATGTCATGGAAATTAACCTCTCTGAATTTTGTTAACATCCAGACAATTAAATATAACCCAGTTTTATCAGAGGCTAATGATTACCATATATGCAAACATGTACTATTTATTTAAGTCTAATGGAACAGATTTGACTGTGCATATTCAGTCATCTTTACTTAAAAAATAAAGCTATATTCTTGTTAACTCACTTGTATCTGAAAGCACTTCCTAAAATGTATGCCATTTTATATGAGCCGAAAATGGCCTTTGTCTCTTTCTTTCTCTGTTTTACAAGATGGTCATGACTATACAATGACATTATTTTAGTCATTTGTGTATTATTTGTGTTTCACATGGGTCTTTTGATTCATTGTCATACTGTGCTCTTTTTGTTCATGCTCTACAGTATGTGTTTGATGTGCAAGATTTGTAAATATATTGAAATAAAAAATGAAAGCAACGACAGACCTACCATTTTTTCCGGCGTGTTCTTGATTATTTTCACTTCAGTGTTACTGTAAATACTGCACCTAAACTGTCTGCACCGACTTCAAAAGGCATTTCTACTTTAATTGATGTTTGTGGTGGCTTAAGAATGTAGACAGTACGTCTTTAAAAGATTTATACCTTTAATTTAATATATATATATATCATCTGTACTGCTATCCGTATGGAATTTGTTGAACATCCCCTTCTTTAATCATTGTTTAGATCTTTGCATGGAGGCAGCTCTGTTCAACTGTGTTTCCATGCAGGAGACGCACTGTGGAATCTCCCAACTTTAGTATCAAGCAATGTAGAAATACTTTTTAAAAATTGTTCTTTATATGCGGTAAATGTCTTTCCAGCTTCAAGTCTTGAGCATAGAGACGCAAGTAGAGTTTAGCTCCATGTTGGAAAGTGTAAAAACCTACAATGTTTCAGCAGCAGAGCATTCTTCAAGTGTGTTCTTCACCTTTATCTTATTCTTTGCAGCTTGCATGCTGGCACAGCTCTGTACTTGAACCTCCTGTTAAACATCAGAATGTCTCTTAAATCAGAGGGGGAAAATGTCCCTATACAGAGTAAAAAAAATGTAGCTTTATTGTCCTTCTGGAAAATCATTTAATCCAACACACCCAACCCAACCGGATGTGCAATGATGATGCAATTGGCTGCAGTGGATGAATAATAAACCCCTCCCCCAACGGACTTTCATTACCAACAGTGTTCAAATACTCTAAAACAAGAAGACATCTGCTGAGATGCTGCACACAAAATAGAGCACTCAAGAGCACTTGAAAGAAACTACAGCATCAGCTTCAACACCTCGGCTGGGTAGCTTGTTCTATACTCCCACAACCCTACAGTATGTGTAATTAAGTGCCTTTTGTTCTTTGCTTTAAATGCACTTCCATATAGCTTCCACATGTTCCCTATGGTTCATGTTTTATTGTTGATTCTAAAAAAGTTAATTGGATTGACTTTGTCAATGGTTTTGAGGATTTTAAATTCTTGGATCAGGCCTGCTCACAATCTTCTCTGTTCCAGGCTAAAAAAAATATTTTTAGCCTGCCAACGTAGAACATTACTTTAAGCCTGAGAATGTAGCTTGTCTTTTACGAAACTGCAGTATTAAAAAGAGACAAGTCTGTAAAAAAGGCTGCATGTGGCTAATAGTTACTTGTATTGTACAGTAGAGCACCATACTACTGTCCCAACAAGATTTTTTATCCTTCAGCTTATTTGATTAAGTATCTTTTGTTGCCAACGGACATCTTTTTCATGGGATTTCATGGCCTCAAGTTTCTGCCACACAGTCCATCCTTCAAAATCTTCTGGACAAAGAGAAGTGTGAATCATTGACTGATGATTCATTTGTAGTAAGTAGAACATAGCAAGGAAGGAAGCGTGTTCTTTATAGCATGAACCTTTTCAGTAAACCTGTTTTTTTAAGTATCCATTCATATGTATGAGTAATAGCATTTTTTTAAGCTGTTCTTTATTATAGATATTGTTACCAGCTGTCATATTAACCAACCAGCTGTCACTGAGCAGTAGCCACAGTTGCCAGCAACATCTCCTTTCATTGCTCATTTTACTTTTCTATTTGAGTTATGCATGAAAGACTGAACTTTGAAATATTCTGATTATCGTCTCTGCTGCTCTGATCAACCTGACATTGCTGGCGTGTGCAGGGAGCCTGTGAACCACAAGGTGGTTCACATTAGTAGTACAGTATCTGTGCTTGCTCAGGTGGATGGGAATGAAACGCCTTAATGAACAGACTTAAATTTGATACCAGTGTGCATTCCCAATTACCACAATGTCCAGCCGTGTTTTGACTCTGAACACAGTAATTGCTAGTGAAATTAAGCTGTCAGGCCCATGATCAGCTTTTATTGCCCTCACTAAGTAATCCGTCACAACGGCTCTTAAGGCCAGGAAGTATTTCAGCAGAACAAAATAGTGCACCAATCATTCTAGTAAGAAAAGTCCATCTTAGTCTCTCAGTTCAGTTTCTTTTTGAATGCACAATGCATTTAGCACAGTACACTTGCACAGCCTTTTTTTCCATTAAGATTTTGTGGATTATGATGATTGACTTCTGTTGATTTCTGCAGTGTCAAATAGGATAAATGTGAAATGCTACTACTTGGTTAAATTTATGCCTGTTTTTATTGTGGCCAATATATCCCAACTGTGCTATTTTTAAACATTCTTTTTCTGTGTATAGCATACGTGCTTGGTTAAGTTCAGTTGAGTGAAAAAAAGTTCAGGTACCACTCCTAACATTTATAGTCCATCTATGTGTACACATCTAGAGTCAGTTTGTCTGATGTACTGCCAGGGTGTGGCCCTCTGAAAAAACTTTCTTGTGAAAATAATTCCATTTATGTTTTTTGAGTCCCTGCCAGAGTGCCAAGAAAAAAGGAAGACAGCCAGGAAATTATAAGACCAATGGATTGGACATGTTGGTAGTTAGATTCTCTTGACATGTGACAGGAAATAATGCGCTAAGCTCAGGTACACCCTAGTTCAACAAAAGCAGAATGCAGGCCTCTAGGAAGCATATGGATCCGGTGTTAATAGACTTCTGTTTATGTAAACAAGATTTGAGCACCAATTAGCCCCTCCTCAGTATTCTCACATTACCAACATGCTCTACATATAAGTCAATTTCTTATTAGTCTCCCGAGATGCCCACCACACCCAGATTCATCCTTTTGTTTGAGATAGTGACTCATTCGCCGATGGCGAATTTCTGCATCTTTCGGCAATGCCTTGAACAAACCGACCTGCGAGGGGGACACTCACGATAAAATATCTAGAAGGTCTCGTGCCATCCAGGGCTGGAGTGACATTCAGAAGCTGCTCTTGACCTTCTCCCGAGAAACTGAAATGATTTTAAAACGTAAAAAATAACTAACCAACAAGCCAAATAACGCAAATCTGAGAAGAGTCAGCCGCTACATCTGCAGGCTTAAAAGAATGTCCTACACCGAGAGACTGAAAGAACCAAACGTTTTTTGTCTTGAATAGAGCAGACTATAAGGGGATCTGCCCGAGGTATTCTTAAACCTCAAGGGGACTGACAAAGTCAGCACAATGAACTCCTTCAGAATCAACAGTGAAACACGAACAAGCAGACCCAAGTGGAAATTACGCATCTACAGATAAAAATGAAAATAGGAGACAATTCTTTATGTAAATGATTGTGGTAGTGTGGAACGAGCTACTGTATATAACCATGTTGTCAAAGTCAATACGCTGTGTTGAGATCCTTAGCTCAGTTAGCCACAATCTATCGAATGGGCTTGATGTGTTAAATAGCCTTCTCTCCTTTGTAATCTTTCCTATGTTTTTATAATAATTTAGGTTCGTAAATCATTCAGTAGAGGTGTTAATGGAAATATCATTAAGGTAAAGTATGTTGAGTTCCCATGACTCATTCTGATGGTATTTCTGGTAAGGAATATGAAATAAATAATACAAAAATAGTTGCAACCTTAAGGTCTGCCATATGACTCCAGAATTAAACTGTTTGTTCTCTGTGCCATAAACAGTAATGTTTGCTCTGAGTGCAGTTGTCCAGTCATGGCTCGTTCAAGCCTGGACTTCTGTATGTCATCAACAAACTGTAATCAGGCTTCCCCAGGTGACAGTGTAGTACTGGTCAATAGGTCCTACAGTTGGATGTCCTCAGCTTCCTGTGCAACAGCAGCTCTTGGGATCTACTAAAAGTCTTATGATTGCAGTGAATTTACTGGCAGATAAGATATTCCTCCAACACTGTTAATTCTTCCATTCAATGCTAGCTTTCCTGTTAGGCAATGTGGAGTTTGCAATGAATGTAATGGTGTTTGAATGCGGATGGACATGTTGATGGAATGAGTGCACAGGATTTTATTCTTCCTGTGCAGTTCTGTGCACTTCCAAGTGCAATAGCTTGTACAATATGTTGTAAACTCTCTATGCTTGCATTTAGGGAGCTAACCATAATAAACACTGGCTGTACTGAGGAAAATAATAAGCCATATTATGTGAAATCCTTGCAAGGTATAGATCTTTTAAATTCTTGTTTTCTTCAGTGTAATTACTTCACAAATATTAATACAGTAAAGGATACTGTGAACACTATCCTTTTTTATTTTCAGTGCTCCGTGTTAAAACTGTCGTTGCCATTTTTTGTCAAGTAATCTCACCCAGATTGCTTGTTTAGCATAATTTAGATAGATATCATTGAAAAAATAAACAAACTGGCAAGTCCTAATGTCCAAAATCATCAGTCATTTTAAATATCCAAAGGAGCCTACAAAGGGTTTGGCAACACTATTCATATTATACAAGTGGAAGATA